CAAACTACTAGTGGGATTTCAACCAAACTTTTCAGGAGTGATCAGTACCATCCCTAGTTGTACACATTACCCACACGTTCCGCTTTGCTGTACAAAATGGCCACCAGAGCTAAAAATAGAAAAATCTTGCTCGCCATTCACAGGTCAAACTACTGGTAGGATTTTAACCAAACTTTACAGGAGTGATCAGTACCATCCGTAGTTGTGCATTTCACACCACGTTACGCTTCGCTGCACAAATTGGCCGCCAGAGCTATAAATAGAAAAAGCTTTTCCGGCCTATACTGGTCTAACTGCTAGTGGAATTTCAAACTTACTTTACAGGAGTGATCAGTACCATCCCTAGTTGTGCATGTCACTGGCATGTTCTGCTTTGCTGCACACAATGGCCGTCAGAGCTATAACTATAAAAATCTTGTCTTGCTTTCCAAGTCAAGCTACTGGTGGGATTTCAATGAAACTTCACATGAGTTACCATACATAGTTTTTGAGACATATGTTTTTGTGACAAAAACCCTTCTAGTTTTATTTTGAGTCTATGTGAGCATTGAGGAAGTTTTATACGTATTTTTTAAAAGTCAAAGAAACAAAAAATAGCAAAGGCGAACGACTTTAGAAGTAGTTCAAATAAGTTACAATGTTTCTTTCAAAAACGAGAATTTTTTTTTAAACATAAAACAAAACCCTTTGCAGTTGCGTCATTTAAGTGATAAAATTTATTTGGTTTTAATGCATTTTTGCAGATCAAATAAATGAGTGTGCAGTCAACCCGTGTCTTAACGGCGCATCGTGCACTCCATCTTTAAATTCATACTCCTGCACATGCGCAACAGGATATAGTGGAACTACTTGCCAAACAAGTAAGCATTCCAATTCGTTTGTTTATCAATTTAATGACATTTACTATAATTATATAACATTTGGAATCAGTCCAACACAAGATAATGAGACTATTTGCTATTGTTGAGTAATGTATATAGCGCGCGTGTGTGCGTGCGTGCGTGTGTGTGTGGGGGGGGGCACCGGACAGCGGTTGTGACGCGTCCATATATTAATATTTCACGTGACTTTGTAATTTATTCTTAATCAGTTACAATTATGCCCCGAAAATATTTGAAACATCTGAGCTAACGTCAAAGCGTTCATTTCTTTATTATTGAAAACGTATGATTTAAATTATCAACATTTCAGAAAAACGCAATGACTTATGGGTATACAATGTATAAAATAAGCCATTTTGTTTTGAAAACCAACGCTGATGGATATCATGATAACGTTTAATCTAGTTATTGACAACATATATAAGGTCCCATATGTAAACAATTTATAATGGTTTTGATTACCATGCACTTTCCATTAAAATTTTTTTTAACATTTACCTCCCTCAAAGAATAAACAACTTGAACAAGTGTTGACAGTAAATGAAAAAGTGTCATAAGTTTCTACATGTCTAAAGATGAAGTGCTACACATTTTTATATAAGTTGATACATATATTTTTATAACATATCATATGTTGAAACTACAATTCAGACATCGATGATTGTGCAAATACTCCGTGCAAGAATCAAGGGACTTGCATTGACCAGGTTAATTCTTTTAGATGTAACTGTGCTGCCGGATATAAAGGAACTACGTGCGAAGAAGGTAATTTAAATATATATTTATTCCATGCATTTAACATTATAATTATTCTAGTATATCGCCAATACTTAAAATTGTAAAGAAAGCGACCCTCGGTTTTGCTCCTCTCGGTTTTGTTCCCCTCGGTTTTGTTCCCCTCGGTTTTGTCATAGTAATACGTAATGTATTAGCTTTTTAAGGCGTCCCAAATTATAAATGCATTGTAGTCTGGTTAATTAAAATTATATCTTTTGGTAATTCTAAACATATATTTATTAAACTTCGTATATGAATATAAGTTATTTCTGTCACAAGAAAAACATTAAATATCAACATTTACCTTTGAACTCTGTTTCGTCTAGTTTGTACGGATAATGATAAGTATGTAAGCGGCTGTTCCAAAACATGCAACTGTAACGCATCCAGGCTGGTGGAAAATGTTGGAACTCAAGCCTGTAACCAAACAACAGGTTACTGCATGTGTAACTCAAAATGGACTGGCCCTGCATGTGAAACGGATGTTGACGAATGCACGGTAAGTTAAATTTCTAGAACGCGCACTGAAACAGCTAGATAGGAAAACCAGAGTTTTCTAATGTTATAAATGATAAGCATGCACATAACTTAGAACTGACTTCAGAGTTTATCCAAAACTTGTTAAAACAAGCATGCAAACAATTATTTCATGTAAAGGACTACAAATCTTTTAGACCTCAATCTGGTTTAATTTAATTTTGAGGAACTATCATCAAGTTGTCACTGTGATAATAATCTGCTAGAACCGAATACACGTGCAGTCTAGTAGTTGGTTGCCCATGGTATTATTATTATTATTATTATTATTGAAAGCCCCTTAAAATTGGAATGGTTTTTCAACATTAAAAGCAGGGCACGCAAATCCATTTAGTTAAAATGAGCAGGAGAAGGTTTAATACAACACAATTATACATTGCAACTATAAACTCAAGTTTATTTTTCTAAGAAACCAGAAAAAAACGGTATGCCATTCTCTGTTAATTTTATTGATATATATATCGACAGTTTTAACTTATATATTCTTTAATTGGTTCTTAATCTTTCTCAAATATAAAGGATGAATCTTGTGGCAACGCAAAGTTAGCAACTTGCCCTCTTCTCCTATGTGTATAATTTAAAAGAGTACACGTTAAGGATACTAACCCTAATATGTACATGTGAACCGATCTCTTCGAATATTAACAAACCTCAACATCAAAATACAAATATTGAGCTATGATCCATATAGTGTTTGATCAAGCTGCACGAATATTTAAGCTTGCCTTGATCTATACTGATGGCCAACACCCATATATCAGCAGTGTTGAAATTAAATCTTTTTACCGGTTAATGCTAAATGTTGATTTCTGCTTAAGCCGGTGCTGGCGGGGCGTTGACGGTAGCTGCAATTACCACTACCGTCCATGAACAGACTCAATCAAACCGAGTCTGCAACATTTTCAATTCCGCCGTGATGGGTTTTCTTTTGGGATTATGTGTTTCTCTCTTTTTTTTAATTTGATGTCTATGTCTTTCTATTTTTTAACCATAAAAACGTTAAATAAAATAATTTATTGTTATTTCAAGGATACCACCATTTGTAATAGTACCCCAAACAAGGTTTGTGAAAATACCTTAGACGGCTATTATTGTACATGCAAAGTGGGGTACACAGAAAATACGGACAAAACCTGCAGAGCAAGTAAGTTTATTGTTGTTGTTGTTGTTGCTGTTTATACCTAGCATACAGTTGTTTCTGTGAGTGATGAATTCGAGTCACTAGAGATGATATTGTATTTTTTTTATAAATCGTCAGGGTTTTCAATTAATGGTTTAATCAAGTACTGAGCATGTTTGCTACCTGTCCATAACAAGTAACAACAAAAAATTCCTTTAATTTTTGTCACCGGTAAATAACGCTTCCTTACATAGTATTCTTTTTTGCATTACAGTTCCGAACTTTATTGAACGCCGTCCTTCCTTGTTGATCTTGTTTTTTCATATTTTTGGTAAATCTATAGATCAAATATAAAGCTAATACATTTTTGTAATTACAGTATTTATTTTTATTTCAGGCACCACAACAGTGTCATTAAGTGTGGGAAGTATGTAATAAATTTTTGTTAATATTGTAATAAATATTGTTAAATAACTCATTACGCTCAAATCTACTGTTTCTTATTATCAAAATACGAAATGAGGAATGTATTATGCTTATTAAATGAAGTCAGTTAATAAATTAATGTAGAATTTATAAAAAAAAAATCATCAGACAGTAGTGCAAAATGTATCAAGATGACAAAAGCAGTTTCATTACGATTATTTTTGAACAATAAAAAATGTCACATATTTAACGCCCCCTGACACCGACTTAGGCAATATTCAGTCTATGGTTAAAGGTATAACAATTCTGGAATATGAGAGAGACCAAAAGAAAAGAGATATTGAAATACTTGCAAATAGTAGAATTGATGTAATTTGTAATAAAATGCTCCTTGAACCGGTGCTAGGGTGCGTAAAAGATGAAACATAATTTTATTTTATGTCTTGAACATATCAAACTGTGTATTAATTGTGTAAAAGTCTCACGTTTTTTTTTGTCATTTTTAAAAATTATAAAAAGGGATGTTTTTCTTCAAACTGACTTCAGTAAACCAAATTTGCATTTTACACCTTCAATGCTGTGTTGGTTTGTTTTTCATAATGATCAAATATGTAATTTGATTTTAATTTTATATCCTTAAAAATGATTAATTCAGCTTCATAATATTGCACTGTGTCAGTTATATGTACATGTATTTCTATGTATTTCAATATCGATGTACCTTATCCTTTTTCTATTTAGCAAATGAATATAAAATAACACTTAAAATGACCCTTGACATACCGTGTGTAGCGGCAGATCTGCAAGTTCCAACGAAATATGATAGAATTAAAGCATCAATTGAATCTATGGTAAGTGTTTTAGTTTGTTTGTTTGGTTTTGCGCACCAACACAGTTTAGGTCAGTCATATGGCGCCGAAACAGGCAAGATGATTTTAGCTGACCTCGGGTGTAACAAACTTTAAGCAACATAGGGGACCAAAGCCACCTCACCTGCTAGAGCTAAGAGATGCATAGACCCTAATAATTCGAACCGATTTAGTCGCCTCTTACAATCGAACAGGGTTAAACGGTGGCTGCAATTCTGATGCCTCAACCCTTAGAAGCAGACCCTCAGCTAATTGCTATTATTTGCCGTTTATCTCGCCATTATCACCTCTTTGTTGGTGTTATTTAAGGGTGAATATGTGTATATAAAAATATTTCTGTTTCTTTTGCCCATTATCATGATACAAATGGAATAATACTTTTTCATGTGTCATTCGTGTCAAATTAGTGAATGATTTTTGATTTTATTATAAAAATTACATTTACCTTTTTATTTGTAGTTGCAAGCCAAACTCTCTTCAACTTTACGTGTTGTTGCCTATAATATTAGGTAAGCATTTTTTTCTACTCTAGTTGCATTTAAGCCGCATCAAATTATCAAATCTTTTTCTAGTAATGATAAAAACAAATCAGTTTTATTTGCTCTTTACTCGTAATGGGTAATATTGAAAAGTGTAATATTTTTCACGCCTCTTATTACTATTAGTGTTTTCAATTTCAATTACTATTAATGTACTGTCAATTTATTTCTGCTGAGGTACACATGGGAACAACATAAATGTCTCATTGTTGTTATGTAAAAAGCAAAGTAATATCATTCCTCATAATTTTAAATGTTGAGTTCTATTTAAGCCGTGTCAGTATGGAGATGGTCGTTATCTTTCATTAACCATTACTGATTATGAACAGTCTGAACAAATGGAGCCTGTAACATTTTAAAAGTTTTTCGTACGATTATGTTTTTTGTTCTATCTTTTCCGTTGGTACCCACTTTAAGTGTCTTAAAATCTCATGCCCTATACCATTGGCGTAGGCAGCACAAGAATGTTTTGCAAGCGATGATCTAAAAATGATCAGAAAAAAACAACCGTTTAACTTATTACAAAGAAAAGACAAATTGCTGCAGAACATGTATGAAAACTTTTTGATTTATACACCAAGTGTCCATTGTAATAGTAAGTAAAGTCTTTTTTAAGGACATATAAAGAGCTAGACCTGCCATAACCGAAACAGGAAGCCATAAGATGGCTCGTCAAAGAATATGTCAAATGTTTTATGCAGATTCGTTGTATAACGGTCAAAACCACGCCGTCATAATATAAGGCGGATGAATATCTTTAAATAGACATGCATGTCCCTTTTAATGAGATATTGTTCATGTGTATGTTAATACTTAGCAAAATCATTGACATGATGCGCCATTGTCTTTTCTACAGGTGTGGATCAATAGTATTCGAAAGTCAAATAATAATACGTAACACCGATGCTGAGAAATCTCGTGTCGCCGGTGATTTGCAAAACATTAGAAACGGAGACACAGTGGCGGTGGATGGAGTCAACACTAAAGCCACTGCCCTTACAGTCAACGGATACGCATGTAATTTGTTTTCTTTTTACTATCTCACTCTAATTCTAATTCTATCTTAAAGGTTGGAAAATTTAACTTATAGAATAGTTTCAGTGTTATCATGATATTAAAACGAGCTATCTTTTATCGTTTGTGTCCGTCAAAATGTCTACTGATTGACTGCATCTACCTTGCAGATGTTTTGGGCCTACCGTGCAGATTATTTGGACATCATTTAAAGTGAAATAACTTTTTTCTTAAAATGAAAATGACACAACAAGTAAATTGAGTAGGTTGAGGTGAAGGCGACATTAAAGCTACTTGTTTTCAATAAACGACACTTTCAGTAGTATTTATAAAGGACACCATTCTATACATGCAAAATAATATGTTCTCCTGTTCGCGTAATTGCCAGTCCATTGTTTACCGTAATGGTAGGAACTATTTATATAAATCTAATATTTCAGTGAGTATAACTTCCGGTACTGACAATACAGGAACTAAAGTTTGTAGAGTACATTCAACATTAGTCACCTGTCCTACAGGGCAAACATGTCAATATGTAGACAACACAGCATCTTGCAGGTAATACTATTTTAGATAATAATTTTCTGTTTATTGTGGCGTGAACAGTCTTTTTATGTTTCATAAATAGACCTACCGGGAGTATACACCGAAGCTGTTGTGCACAAATAAAGCATGTATGTAAAAGTATGAAAAGCAAACTGTATTCTTTTATATCTATTCTGTATTTAAAGATTTATAGCTCAGATGCTTTTTAACAATATCATTAAAAAAAACATTATAATAGTTCTAGAAAAGTTTTCAATCCCTATCAAACTCCAAGTAAAGTGACATTATGCTCATTATTTTGCTGTCATGTTGAGTTAAATTAGTTAAATATTTCAAAAAAAATGCGATTGGTCACGAGACATATTTAACATAATATTCTGTATTTTATGTTTAATTATTTCAATGTTATTTATCTTCATTTTAGGACTATACAGACAGGTAAGCTTTCTTTTTTAGATTTTAATCTGAAAAGAAAAAAAATCAAGCATGACACGTGGACATAGCAGTGCATATTTTTTATTAAACTTTTATTTCAAGACATGAACCTATTACATAGTCTTTGTTGATGATCATTTATGTAAAGAAAAACTTATTTGCTATTTATGCCAATCTGCAAAGTAAAGAAATGTCAAATAACTTTCGTTTAGAAATACAACATATTGTACTTGTATTTTTTTCATCAAAATACCTCGCCAATTATCCATAACCATCTTTCTGACGGTTGCTATATGAATTATTTCAGACGAAGCCGACGACGATAATAATGCATTGATATTAGGTCTGGGTCTAGGCTTAGGATTAGGATTACCTCTTGTTTTGTTCGTTATCATAGCAGTCGCCTGCTGTTACTGGGCAAAGAAAAGACGGCAATATAGGGAAAAAGACTACAGAAGGTACAGACACATAATATAATAGTTTAAATAGGCTTTGATCTGAGTGAACGGACACCATTTATAGAGGTTGAACAAAAAATTGCGTGAAAATGATACGTAATGTCCCTACTATGCCGAGACTTTGATCAAGCTCGCGTGAAAAGTAAAAGCACAAGGACAGATAGACAGTCATATATTAAAGTGTTCCTATTTCATAAAAACTGACCTCTTTGTTACGGTGGCTCATATTGACTGACCATTGTTATTGTCCATATTTACAGAATAATCAGTAAAGAAATTGTACAAACATGTTCTTAAACATAGTAAACTTTCCTATCAAATTATTCTACTTCTATTTCAATAGGTTTAGCAAATTAATTACGCATGCGCTATTCCCCTTAAACTTAAATTTACCAACAGCATTCTTTCAAACTATGTACTTTTGAATAGTTTTGATTAAGATACAATGATAATACATGTACATATTTCTAACTTATTTTTAGGGACAGGGATATCCCATCGAGAAACAGTAATGTTGTAGACTGGAAGGACGACTACAGACATTCGTACGACCGCCCGAGAAACGATTATGGCGAATATATCGACAAAAGAGAATTTTATGGCTTACCAACCTAACGTTATTAAAATAATTCTATCTATCAATATTTATTTTATACAATATATTTAATTCCTTTCGAGTCCATAGTAAACTTTTTGGTAATGTATACTTCATTTGACAGGATTTGTGTTTTCCTTTGACATAATCTGTAATAGAAGCTGCTTAAAACAGATAATGTACAGATATCTAGTGTCATACCGGCATGTGAGTCTTCACTATGTCAGAATAACATTTACGTCCTCATTGAGTCAGGCCTTGCTGTCACTATAATTATACTGCTGCCTGTACAGTTTTGTAGCTTACTCTTATAATTGCCACTTTTTGATTCATAGCGGGATGAGAGAAGGCTATATTGAAATCGGGTTAAAAATAGTCCATTGCACACAGATAGCATGTGAGGGGCGAACGACAACTTTTCTTGGAGATTGGGATAAAATTGGATTGTCGCACATAGCACATATTAACATGGATGTAAATCTGAATTCAATGACATTGACTTTATTGTTTATATGCCCATTGATACATGAAGCATGGTTAAGCAGTAAATATTTTTGATGTTTTTTATATTACGTGTATATTCTGTTAAGTTGTGATTGATTTTTTTCATGTCTTCATACGTATATAATTGACAAATACTCTTGTAAAAAATATGTAATCGGTAATAACGTATGGTATTGTATAATGTGGACATTAAAATTATAAAATAAAGTACGTTTTCTTGTTTATATGTGTGCACGGTTACGAGCGTTTGTTAATTTTTTCAAGCTTTCTATGGTGTCTGGTTAATGCACATGTTTAACCTCGTTCGTCTTGGCAAAGTCATCCTATAGTAGGCTCTCTCTTGTCAACTTTCAGTAACTAACGGCATTCTTTTAAGCGCCAGTACAGGCATCATTCTGTCTCAGTCATTGAATTGTTTGGTATGAAATTAAAGTGTTTCCAATTACTAGAGAATCATCAATATTTAAGCCTAGATATTTTACAGATTTTTTGGATTACAAAATATGTCCATTACAAACAATTTTTAACTCTTTAACTTGTTTTCAGTTTACGCTTGGAACCAAAAATAAGGCATTTAGTCTTTTCTAGATGAAGTGACAATTTGTTATCGAACAAGACTCTGGTGTTTGTCTAAGTTTTATAAAGAAATGATACTTGGATTTTTGTGCAAAAATAATAGCACTGTCATCCGCATGCAGAATAAACTTACGATCTTGACCTATACTAATTCTCATGTCATTTACATATCACAAAAATAAGAGGACCGAGGATGCTACCCTGGTGAACCCCACATGTAACAGGCATATAATCTGATAACATATTATCCACACTAACAGTTGGTTTTCAACCTATTAGATAAGACATTAACCAGTCAGTATTTGAGATATATATTAATTTTATTTTTCCACATAAAATATCATGGTCAACAGAATCAAATGTTTTTTGTAGGTCTAACATTATCATACCAGTATAAACCTTTGGAATTATTATTTCATATATGATCCATAGGATGAATAAGACAAGTGCCAGTGGAATAGGAATTTCTAAAACCTGACTATAATTCATACAATAAACCATTATCAACTAAAAAATTTCAAGTTGTGAATACACTAATTTTCTAAAATGTTTGATACAATGCTTAAAATGCTTACAGGTCTATAACACCCTTCTTCAAGATTAGTGTTCTTTTTTATATAAAAGATTTTACCCCAGCTACTTTCATGTCATCAGGGACATAATTTTCTGAATTTGACATATTTATGATAAAAGTAATCGGTACTTTTTAAAAAGAAAGCTGCATTTGGCAAAATCTGGCATGAATTTCATCTTACCCAGTACTCTGATGAGTTTAAATTCTAAGCTCTTTATATACAAATGTGTCAGACACATGCCCCAAGTACATTTTATTATTCTAATAATTATGTCTGTCATTATAAAAATCTTATCACTAAGGTTGTGAGGTCAATGTCAAACAATTTGCTAGCACAAGGTAAACTTATCCACCAGCTTAGAATCAACAGTTTGTAAAAAAGTTATTAAAATGATTAGCGATTTTAAAGATTAAGACAGTTTTCTCCGTTCATAGGTTTGCCTAGTTTCTGTATGATCATAGCAAACAAATACACAATGCCTTAAGGAAGGCAAATCAGCAAGAAAAATATCTGCAAGTACCCGGCTTAAACTATCACAGTATATGTATTTGGTTACATCAATTTTTATCGCAGTCTGGCATGACATTAACATTATAAAAAGTTTTTAAGTTTGTATAAAAGATGTAGGATTCACTTGATGAGGCATAGGTATCAAATACACCGAAGAACGTTTATAACACATGTTCGTCTGAGAAAAAAAAAACAAAAACAAAAAAAACACTAAACTTGAAAATATAAGATTCTTTTATTATACGTAATAACTCTGTTTCATTTTCATATTCTAAATACAAACGTTTCTTTCTTTCTTTTTAGGTTTTTTTTTCAATGAAAACATATTATTTATTTATAGATACTGAAAAAATATACATGTATCATGACCTAGATTACCTTTAAAGATTCTACTTTTAAAATGTTTATAGGCATGTTAAATCAGTTTAACATTTTTTATCTAAAAAGATTTTTATCTGCTGTAACCATGTTTATTCTTACAATCAAAACAATCTTAGATATATTTGTAAATTTGTATTTTTTATTTATTCATACGAACAGGGGAAAAATATAGATGTATATAAAAGAATCTTATATTTTCAAGTTTAGTGTTGTTTTTTTTTTGTTTTTTTTCTTCTCAGACGAACATGTGTTATAAACGTTATTCAGTGTATTTGATACCTATGCCTCATCAAGTGAATCCTACATCTTTTATACAAACTTAAAAACTTTTTATAATGTTAATGTCATGCCAGACTGCGTTAAAAATGGATGTAACCGAATACATATACTGTGATTGTTTTAGCCGGGTACTTGCAGATATTTTTCTTGCTGATTTGCCTTCCTTAAGGCATTGTGTATTGTTTGCTATGATCATACAGAAACAAGGCAAAACCTATGAACGGAGAAATCGGTTAAAATATTTGTTCATTTTCATTTTACATTTTCCTGTGTCTCCCTTTAAAAGTGCCATTCGGGATTTTATACACTGCCTCCGTTTATTCTGGTTCCTTGTCCTATTATGGTCCCAAAAGAAGTGCGCAAGGGACCAGTCTACGCATCCCTTTTCAATCAGAATTTCTAGGCTGTAAGTTTGGCTTTTATCGGATTACACCGCCGTTTATCATTGCGTTACGGCGTCCAACAAGAAATGATACTGAAATTTTCGCTGATAAGTATAGAACTCTATATTTTTTTCTTTTTTAAATATGCACGTGTAGTCTATAGTCGGGCAAGCCAAAGCCCAGAGCCGCTTTTCGGCCCCGGGCTTTGACTTCCCCGTATTATATGATTTTACTGTAGGGTTTCTGTGTTTTATATTTACAACCTTTTGCAGCTATAGAAACTGTTAGAATTTCGCCTGGTAGGGCAAACAATTTATTTGCACATAATGTAATGGTGCTAAAGAGTGAGATTTTGGTGACTTTTATCCAGTTTAAACTTCCCAGTAGTGGTTATGCTTCTAACCTTCCACGTCGGTTAAAATAATTGTTCAACACTTGCTGTTATTGACATCAACCGTTCTTTTCATTTCACCATTAACGCTTCTTAAACTAATATTTTATTTAAGGTAATTGAAATATTCATCGAAGTTTGGGGAAAATATTCTGAACAATGTCCTTTTCAGAAGTTATTATATAAGCATTTTTGCCATTGCCAAAAGTATATTATATAATTATATAAGACAGTTTCAATAGTGTACCAAAATATTTGGCATCTTATTTCAATGAAACCGCAAGCTGGCACTCTATTCATGCACCACTTTTCCTACAAACTTTTGGAAATGAACAAATATAATTATACATGTTTTTCTTGTTCATGTCATTTATATGTGTCATATGAATAAATAAATTCAATAACGTCGGTAGATCGTTAAATAATCAAAATCATAAATAAAATAAAAACACACATACACATAAAAGTTTAACACCCCATTAAAATTAGAAGACTGGCATCCATTTCAAATAAAAACATGCCATTAGCTGTAAATGTTAAAGTTATGCAAATCATTTGGTAAAACACGTGAACAAATTATTTTTATGAACGCTATACAGGAGAGACATGCCCTAATGTATTCAATATAACGTGCCCTGATATACTAGTATTGTTACATTTTCACAGCCCAATATTTTTAATATCTACAAAATTTAATTAACATAGAAAAAAAAAAAACAACAAAGTAACATTAAAAATGAAAAAAACCATGTTATTTTACCATTAAAAGTTTAAGAATATTCGCCATAAATTACAACGTTTATTTATTATGATATTTTTTGTTTATATGCGAATAGAATTTGAACATAATTTCGTTTTTAAACATAAAGTTGTCAGTTATAACAATAGGGCTTGTTTTTATGATACTGTTAATGGATATTCTGAAAGAGAGACACATTTATCTGAAACGTTAAATGGAAACCTGGAGAAGTAAGGATATTTACTGGAGCATGTGCATGTACATGTATTGCAAACTGCTGCTCAAATCTACGTAACCTGTCCTGTTCTACAAATATTGATGATATCAGTATTTTTATCATATTTATATAACTGCAAAAAAAAAAATATGTTTTTAAAGTTCATTTAAAAGATCTGCTTAGATTTTTTCATCTTTATCTAACTTTAGAAGGGCCAGAAGTTACCATAGTTTTGAAATGAAAATTAAAAAAAACAAAGTCAAGTAAAAATGGTTTTATTGAAACAGATGTGTGCCTGATTTAGTGAAACAGAAACCCAGGATGGGCATATTTTTCATCTCTCAGTTGGACATCCTTATATTCATTTAGCATTATATACATTTTAAGTTGTAAAACGGCCCTATTTTTCACACATTGAACACTAAAAAGTGCAATTAGTAAAAAATATCTTTATTCAAGATTTTTCATTAAAATGAAAAATAAAGTAAAACGTTGACCCCGAAAAGAGCTTAAACCCACGTGTAAACTCTGTGTCCTCACTGAAAATGAATATTCTTCAGATTCGGCTTTATACATCTTGTACCTTAATATATAGTTATTTCCTCACATTAAATATAGAATAATGCTTGATGAACCCTGATCTAAATCATTCAATGAAACGGTAGATGCTGCCAGCGTTTCACGTAGACAGAGAGCAAGGTGCTATCTCTTAATTACCGGTGGCAGTATCAGTGTTTGGACACACTAGCCCTATCTGCCCCTGGACCCCTGCGGAATTTCACTGCATCATTCATTGACATCAATAAAAAGAACTAGAATTCCACAGTTAACTTAATTCAAATCCAACGAATATCTATATCATTCCGATTTTTTTCTGTTTCACGGTAGTTTTTTGACTTGTCGCTGCCATTTTGAATTCTGATACCTGTGTGATATAACCCGAACTGATTGGACGTCCAATTTGGCTCGTCAAATCAGATTGCGTATTATAACCTAGGTATACGACTGCAAATTTGCGAAGACAAGTCAAAAAATACCGTGATGTAACTGAATGATGAAGCGAAATGCTGCCAGAGTGCGCCTCAGTCGCTGAAACGACACTTTCCCGCGTTTCACATTGTTTGGCAAATGAACATAAAGTAGGCTTACACCTTTCT